ATTTCTTAACAGGGTAGAGTGTGACAATAATCCAGACTCATGTCCTAAGTCAGAGTCAGAAAGGGCCATCTAGCATGGCCTCTCCGCTGCCAGGAGGGTTCTGGGCTGCAGGGCAGTCAGCTCTGACCACTTTGGAGGATGGGCTGCTGGTAGTGGACCTTCTTGCACTATTACCAGGAAGAAGGGAAGAACCAAGGGCCAGGGACTTGAGTTATTTGCGCTGACAACCACCTCCTCACGCAGGAACTGGGTTCTTCTCAATTGTACAAGTATTGATCCTAGAAAAGCATGTGACAATTTAGAGGTGGGCATCTTGTCCAGGCAGGCAGTGGGTTTGCTGCAAGACTGCTGCAAAAGCCCCTGAATTTCATTACCCTAAAGCCAAGTCATTTGGGAGAAAGCCACACAGCACAAGCCAACACAGCATCAGATATGGAGCAACTAGGCCTCTCCCAGCTGGCGACCTCTCCAAGTGCTTCTCAGGAACCCCACAGCTACTGTACAATAAGCAGACCGGAAAAAGGAATGCCAGTCAATCTGGATGGCCGTGGGAAATCCGTAAGTGGCAGGGCCAAATCAGCCATGGAAATCAGCTTGTGCAACGGGGTTATTACCATCCAATGTCACTGCTGCTTCCTAACTCCCTCAGGAACCATCTGGTGGTAGTGAGAGCACCTTAGGTGGGAGGTTGCCACAGAAGAGAGTGGGGGGTATTTTCTTTCCTCAGTTGTCTGAAGGTGGTGGTCACAGTGCTGTATTAAGGCATGGCTGTTTTGCTGAAGTCTGCAAAGGCTATACCCTAAAGGTCTGTAGTGGAAGGGCCTCGAGAGGCCTCTGGGGACACAAGAGAATAAAGATGGCTCTAGTTCTTCAAGGCAGGTGAGGAACAGTAAGAGGGGATCAGAAAAGGCTCTCCCTCCTTGGGGTCTCATGAGTTGGGAGAGGGCTGGGGGATCCGCGGGGAGAGCTAGCTCCAGCTGTTTTTGGAACCTCTGATTAAGCTGATTCACAGGACTCTCCCCCTTTAGTCACTACTGTCTCAGCTCTGGTTTCAAGTTCAGGGTCAAAGGTGCTTCCTAATAGGAGAGGTGGCGGCCTAAAAACAAGCCACAGGGAAATGAAGTCCAGGGGGGCCATTCACAAGGAGACTCAACATCAGGGCTCCCGGGCTTCCATCCCATTCTGCAAGGTGACTTTCTTGGATGGACATAACCCATTAACAGGGGATCAAAGTACTTTGACCTTGTCCCCAAGAAGTCCTCCGTCAACAGGAGCAACTGAAGTGCCATTATGTTCCAGGAACGGTTGAACAGAAAGCAGTGGGGTTTCCATAAAGACATCTCAGGGCTGGCACTGCATATCCAGACAAAAGGGTGCTCTATTAGGATGAGGTCTTCCTGGAAAGATGAACCCTCCTCGGGTTACCACATCCAGCAGGACAGGACAGGACAGAAATTGTGAAAGCACATACAATTCACAGACTATTTACCTTACCCCCCAGAAAGCTCAATTACACCGTTTCTTTTTCTTCAGGAACACTTGGCACTCTCTAAAAAATCCTATTTCTTACTAGCTACTTTGGGTCTGGTATTCCTCCACCTCATAAGAGCATAAGCAGCCTGGAGTGCAGTGGCCTTGCCTACCTTATTCATAGCTATTATTTCATGGCATGCAAGGTCCAATGCCTGGCACATAATGCCTGCAAATGTTAACTGGGCTAATGGAGCTCATAGGATGGACTGTCAGGAACCGTAGAGATCTTGCTCTACCATACAGCCTTCCTAAGTAGTGGTTCTCAAAGGGTGGTCCTTTGACCAGGTGCATCAGGATCCCCTGGGAATATGTTAAAAACACAAAATTTCAGAACTCACTCCAGACTTACTGAATCAGTTCTGAGGGCGGGGCTCAGCTGCTTGCATGCGAAAAATCCTATCGGTGACCCTGATCCATACTGAGGTTGGAAAACTGCTGTCCTTAATCACATTTGGGGGAACCACACCACAGTAAGGATCTGAGGAGACTGTGAGAGATTGATTGATTGTACATGTCCTGTTACGCTTTAAATAGAACTCACACTCAAGTTTATAAACCAGTCTTTAACTTGGATCAAGGATTAACCTCCTTCATCACCCTAGGGTAGCAATGGAACTCTGGGGGACCCCGCTGGCCTGAACACCCCTTACTGGAGGGAAGAGTTGGAACAGGTCCGAAAGCAAAGCACAACTGGCCTGGCACACTTCTGGGAGAAGCCGAACGTTCACCTCTCTGCAGACCCAGATTCCACTTTTTTTGCCTCACTGGGTTCATAAGCATCTTGAAGGCAATGGCTTCTGTCTTCTGCACAGGGTTTGCATCTGTGGGTGCTCAAAGGCTGTCCTTAAAAGTGTATCAAGGTTCACAGAATTAACTGCCCTTAAGGCCTGCCTCCAACTTGAGGCTGTCTACACTGCATCCTGACATTCTCTAGCTTTTGCCAAAGCAAAACTACTCATTCTTCTCTTGGCAGGGTCAGGATGTTGGCCATACTCCTTTCTTCATTTTTACCATGGAAACAAACAGTGGGCAAGGCACATTTAACTGTGTACTCAAGTGTCATGAAATGGTCAGTCAGGAGGCCCCGAATCACTGAACTTTAATTGCTGACCAGGACTGGGTGGGGCTGAATATTTAGGTTCTTCATAGGACACATGAAGAGACTGATGTGTGAATGCAGAGAATGGGACTAGAATCCAGAAACGTTCTATTTATTCACTGAAAAAGGGAGATTAGGCCTTCTTGATCAATTTCCTCCAATCTTCCAAAACTCCCTTCTCCAAAATAACACCACACTGAGAAACACGTTTGTACAAAAAAAACCCCACGTATTATTCCCACCCCCCCCCCCAAAATTGGGTGGCTGTATTACAGGAACGAAACCAGATCAAAGACATGAAAAGAAAAAGTCACCACTTATATTGAAACATAACAGTGTTAAGAATTCAGGTATTCTGTAGAATTGTTACCAGCATAGTAAAAATATTTCCACCTGGATCTTTTAAATTTGAAAGCGATCACATTAAAGACCTGAGGTTACAAGGGACCACAGTATGAACCAGAATTCCATTTTCCTTCTAAGAACCCAGTGGAAAAGGTAAGTATTTGGAATGAGTTTCCTTTGGGAAAGACTGGCAGAAAATAGGGAAAAAAAACCCTGGCCACTGTCAAAAGGCACTGGGATCTTTCTGGAGGCAAATGCATTGGAATCAAACTCCAGCAGGAACGAGCTCATTTCCACTCTGAGAGTCTAGAACACACACACAAAAGGAACAAGGTCTCCTTGGTTCCAGTACTCTGATGGTAACCGGGGCTACCTGGTTAGAGGCAACACCTGAGGGTTTGAAAGGCAAATTTTAATTGTGGTTTTATTTTTTTGCTTTCTGATACTAAGAGAAAAAGTTGAGGTGTTTTACAAATACCTCCCTACATCCTCTCATATGTAAAGCTTTACAGAATATATAGAAAAAGATACCCAAAAGGTGTTCCACTTTGCATTCTAAATAATGAAACTGCCACTTGAGAGTGTGACATGAAGAGGCCAGGTGCTTTGGAAATCAAGCTCCACCAAACACACCCTTCCCCCATCCACAGAAGGATAGAAGGCAGGAAGGACAAGAGAAAACCAAGAACTCTCAAGTCATTCATCAGCAGGGGTTGAAATGGGCTCAAGTTAAGGCATTTTTGTGGCTCTTCCTCTGGAATGGCATTCCAATCTCCCACTCCGAGTACCCCAGCCCTCAAAAGCATGATGCTCTGATTGCCAACTGGGTTCCTTGGTACCCCCAGCATCTCCTTGACAACCCTGACAGATGGAATGTGAGATCTCAGAAAGGGAAGGGAGAAGGTATGAGAGGCCATTGATCCTGCCCCACTTCTCCAATCCCATCCCAAACCTAAAGTACCGCTTCACTAAACCCCACTCACCCTGGACTGCAAGAGGTAGTTTGGGGACTTGAACCCCCAGCCATCCTAACCAAGTTCCATGAGCTAGAATGTTTAGCACTATCTACTTACTTTTTTCTTTTTTTTCCTTTTTAAAGGTTTTTTGAAAGAGGGAAAAAAAGAATGAGTGTACAAAGCAGTGAATAGTGGACTAGACTCATTCGATAGTCATTACCCTAGACTCCTACAGCTTTCCTGGCTAGTCTAGGGAACTAAGGAATGCCTCCCCAAATCCCTCCCCCAAACCAACAAACCATCTGCATAGAAAGCCAAACCGGTGGGCCAGGGATGGAGTGGGTCTGCTCTAACGCTTGTGCGCTACCCTACCAGGGACTGAAGGGGCGTGTTCCGCTACTCAGGGTGGAGGTCCCTCATGGTCCTCGCTGGGAATAAAATCAGTGGGGTCCTTTCCCCATCTCTTCGAATTTTGGTGCGTCTGTGTGGGGCAAAAGTCTCATGAAACTTCACCATCAGCACCAATCTCAGCTCAGGTTAGCAGAAATAAGGTCACTTATAATGCCTTTAGGTATGTTCCTTTTGGCTATTCCCTCTGCCCATCACCATTTTTTTGGTTCCTATTAACTTAGGATGCTCTCGTTTAAAGCAACGATGACAAAAGAAAAAAAAAAAAGATAATGATTATAAAGCATTATCCACATAAGACAAAGCAAAAAACTGTGGGGGAGCCAAAATGACAGACATCAAAATCTAATGCTGACAGGACCTGCGGAGAAACTGTACGCATACCCCACACCAGGCTGTGGGGGATGCGGGCTACTGTCAGGATGACCAGGGCACACTGTCACCATAAGCCTCTCCTTGTGTACTGGCTGACGAAGTAACACAAGAGGTGTCAGAGCATGGAGAGGGCTGGCAAGAGGAATGGGGAAATATGGGATGCGTGCTTGGGGCTGTGAGGAGAAAAATCCTAAAAGAAACCCAAGGAAGCTGAGGAACACAAGTCTCGTCATCCGCACTCCAGCCGGTGGCGCCGGGCGTGGACGTGGCCTGCATCTTCCAGGCTAGGGGGCGGCCGAGGCTGGTGGGCCTGGAGCAGGAGGCGGAGGGACTCCATCCGTGGGTGGCGGAGGCGGTGGCGGCTGCTGCGGCGGAGGGGCATCTGCAAACACAGCCAAGAGGGACTCGTCATTGCTGGAAACGCAAGGGCTTGGGGAAGAGCCCGTTCAGAGAGAAATGCCATGGGAAGTAATTTTCCTCGCAGCAGGCAATTAACACAGACTTTGTGGCACTGCTGCCACTGCGGTCTGCGCAGTTCAGGTTCACTGGCCCTCCTGGTCCCCGCTCAGGTGCTGGGGTGTCTGAATCTGTCCCAACCTCCTCCAAGGCGAGGCCCACCCCTTCCAAGAATCACTCCAGACCTTGTCAGAACTTAAGTGTATTTTGAGTTTATTGCATTTTGATGGTTCTAATTGTTATTTCTTCAGTTAAATGATAAGCTCCTTCCTGGGCAAGTTCTGTGTCTTCTTTCTCTCACAGTGCCTGGCCTAGGTGGGCACAAAATAGATTATCAATAACTTCTTGTTGATTTAAGTGTCTCCACCAGGGCCAGAGAGCTTCACTCGAGGCGGCTGCTCACAAGGTGGACAGTCCTGGGATGCCCCACAGCTCCTGAACTGCAGTCCTTGGATTTTTGGCCAAAACTAGGTCAGGTCCTGAAGGGAACAATTAGTATCAGTGTCTGGGGCTCTTTCCTATTTCAACTTTAGCTGCTTAGCGTACAAAGGAACCCTAGAGATTATTTAATCCAGGGCTTTTAAAACCTCTTGATTTTGTCAGAAATAAAAACATAAGAAACAAATAAATAATTCAAGCACAGCCTTGCTCACCGGTCAGTTCATCCAACCTTCCCCCCAAGAGATTGCCACCAAACTGCCAAAGCTCTTCAAAGCTCTGAGAGAGAGCCCACTGGTCAAATCTCTTGAGGCCTCTTTTCGGGGGGGGGACTAAGGCCTGAAGGGAGGAAGCACCCTGGCCGAGGAGGCCTGCCTGGTACCCAACAGCCAAGTCAGTGGCTCAGAATCCCTGAAACACTCACTTGTGGCAGGTAGTGGGGACCTGAAACCCTCCATATTCTCAAGGTGCTCCCCTGACGGCCCTTCAGGATGAAATCCTGGACAGTGGTAAAGACCAGTGATATCAGCTCTTGCAACTGGGATGGCAAAATGGGCAAGTCTCCTGGCAGCCTGACACATTTGCCTACCATCTGTAAGTTAGCGACGTGAAGGTTCTCTTGCCAAGGAAAAGAAGTATCCCTATACTACAACCTCTGACCGGGACTCAAAGGAGATCATTTTTTCTATTGTCATGATCCTATACCCAGCTACACGGCTTTCTTCCATGCTCCCACACTATCTTAGTCCCTAGGGGCCCAGAGAGAAAGGAGACGAGCTTTTGTGCAGCCTGCCTCCTGGCCCTGTGAAGCCTCCCTGAGCGCTGCAGCGCACTCCAGGCATTTTGTGGTAAATCCTGTATACCACTATTCACTTGTTCATTTCTTGTTTTCCCAACTACAGCTCCTGGAGACTAGGAATTCTTGAGACCTTGCCCTCGGTACCGTCAATAGGAGTTGACTCCTTGGCACATATGTGAACATCTAAATGAACCAGGACTAAAGACGTGGCTGGGTTATCTGGCCACTACTGACTGCATTTTGGGACCATTCTGAGAAGATCTACAGGAGTAAAGGACAGGTCAGAGCTTCTGAAGCAGTCTTCTGGAGGCCAGGACTGGGGGAGAGCAAGGAACTGGCTTCATACACCTGCCAGACACACACTGTGTCTTCTCCATGGAGTCTGCTGGGACCTCCTGTTCCTTCTCAACATAGCCCCTCAATACTCCTTCCTTAGTCTAAGTTGCTACTACCGCCATCCCGGAGTACATATGAGAAACTTGTTATTTCTGCCCTAAACTGTTTTTTTCTTTCTTTGACCCTCCAATTTTGAAACCTGTGTCCATAGAGGCTCCTGTAGGAAAACAACTAGCAGCTCAGTATGTCTAATAAGATTCAAGCTAGACCGGCTTAAATAGGAGCAGGCGAGGAATGACCTTTTGGCCTCCCCACAGACCTCAGTGTCGAGAGTGCAGGCCACAAAGGTTATGGCACATGCAGCCAAATGCTGCAAGCATTTGCACTCGTCACCTGTGCACCTGCTCATCAGGAGCGGTGAAGAGCATGGACCACAGATCGATCTTCTGGAATCCCTGTCACAGGCTGCACTGTCCACGGACCTGCCACACTATAGATAATCTAGAGAACAAAGCCTTTGTCCCTTGTCTCCAGCCCTCCCAGAGAGACCCTAGGGTGATGCTTCCCCCCACCACGCTACTTACACATGCCGTTAGGTGCCGTGAGGGGTACCCGGGGTCCTAAGATGTTTCCTGGCATTGGAGGCATACCGGGAGGGGCTGGGCCACTCCCAGGCGGGTGGATGTTGGCTGCAACGGTGGGAATCATGCGGCCTGGCATGGGCTGCCCAGGGATCATGGAACCTGGGCCTGGTATCTGACCTGTGGAAAGAGATTTAAAGTATTAAGGTAAGTGTACTAGGATCAATTCAATGCCCAAGAATGCTAAATACAAATACCTAACCCTCCAAAGGATTTGAAATACCAAAAGAACAATAATCTGTAATAATCTCTATGCCCAGATTTTCATTTTTTGGAAGAGGAGGAAGGATAATGGGGCATCTATGGAGTGAATGACTAACCCTAAACACTGGTATAGGCAGGCAGCTGAAGAATCATTACAAGAAAAACACCCTAAAAAAAAGCTGTCATTTTGGTTACTTTGGGTGGACAGTGGTCATACATCTTCCTGAGGACACAAAATGCCAAGGAAAGACCACGGGGGATGGAGAGGACTTTAACAGCACATCAGTGCACAGTCTGAGGATAGCAGCTCAGTTAAGAATGAGCTTTACACATGGGCTTTGTGGGAGCAAATATCTGAAAAGGTACTGGTCACAACTGAAATCAACATTATAAAGCCATTCTGACCAGAATCTCCAAGTCCTGTCCACAAAAAAGTCTCTCCTTCAAAACCCCACCATGAAGCACTGGCCCCAGAGAACCACAGTGGTGGTGGTTGTGGGGGATTAGCAAGAAAAATGGATAATACCTTCATCTCTTTCTACCGGTTTGAAATTGACAAACGGAGACACTATACACAAGAACAGTAAAATACCTCCTTGTCTGCAGTTTCACACTGAGCCTTCAGGACTTTCAGAAAACATTTTCTGTAGAGCCAGATAGTAAATATCTGGACCTTGCAGATCATATGGTCTTGTTCACAGCTTTTCTTATTAACTAATTAGTTAAGTTTTGAAGGAGAGGGGAGGGGCGGAGAGAGAATCCCAAGCAGGCTCTGCACGGTCAGTGGGGAGTTCGATGCAGGGCTTAAACTCATGAACCGTGAGATCATAACCTGAGCCGAAATCAAGAGTTGGACACTTAACCGACTGAGCTACCCAGGTGCTTTTCAACTTTGCCACTGTAGGTAGCATGAAGGCAGTTACAGATGGCATACGGGTGTTGTAGATAATAGGTGAGACTGAGTCTCAAATATTTATGGACTCTGAAATGTGTTATTTCATGTAATCTTCATATAATATAAATATTTTTCTTTTGAGTCCCCCACCTGTGCCATTTAAACTGTAAAAACCATTCTTAGCCTGTGGTCCGTACAAAAACAGGAGATGGGCCAGGTTTGGTCTGCAGATTGTAGTTTGCCAATCCTGCTTTAGATATGAGTATTTTCTCTTAAACTCAGAAGTTTGGCTGCCACTGGGTTTTAAAGGGCCACAAGCAAAGGAGACTAGTTTAATGGGGACAAACCAAGGTTGAAGCACTCTTTTGCATGTGCATATGAACTCTACATGCATGTAGGTAAATTATAGTCTCTACAGAATAAGGAAAGAGAATCTATGGTTTTGTTTTTATAAATCTAGGGATTTCAGTATCTCTGTAAGGTCAGCTGTATGAAACTAAATACAGGTTTCGGGGCACCTGGCTGCCTCAGTTAGTGAAGCGTGCGACTCTTGATCTTCGGGTTGTGGGCTTGAGCCCCATGTTGGGCATAGAGATTATTTTAAAAACAAATAAAAATTTAAACAAATTTAACAAAGGAGGCACCTGGGTGACGCAGTCAGTTGAGTGTCTGACTCAATTTTGGCTCAGGTCATGATCCCAGTGTTGTGGGATCAAGCCCTACATTAGTTAGGCTCTGCACTGAGCATGGAGCCTGCTTGGGATTCCCTCCTCTCCCTCTGCCCTCCTCCCCCACTCACGTGCTCTTTCTCTAAATGGAGAGAGAGAGAGAGAGAGAGAGAGAGAGAGAGAGAGAGAGAGAGAAAGAAAGAAAGAAAGAAAGAAAGAAAGAAAGAAAGAAAGAAAGGAAGGAAGGGAAAAAATTAAATACAGGTTTCTAGACATAGTTCTGAGACAGCTAGAAGTAAGAATGCTTGAGGTCCAATCTTGGAAAATTTGGGAGATGGGACTATCTGATAGCTAATGGTCAATTAAAACAGACAGAGCGGGGTGCCTGGGTGGCTCAGTCGGTTGAGCGTCTGACTTCAGCTCAGGTCATGGTTTCACAGTTTGTGAGTTTGAGCTCTGCATCAGGCTCTGTGCTGACAGCTCAGAGCCTGGAACCTGCTTCAGATTCTGTGTCTCCCTCTCTCTCTGCCCTCCCCCACTTGTGCTCTATCAAAAATAAATAAACATTACAAAAAATAATAAAAAAATAAAACATACAGAGCAGTACTGGAGACAACTTAAGGGATGTCCTCTGTCACTGTTTAGAAAAAGCCCTGTCTTAAGAAAGACGTACAAAGCTTCAAGCCTCACACCATCTATTTCCAGTGTCTGTTCTCCGACCTAGGTAGGACCCAGACAAAGGAGGCCCTCACTACAGGGGTAGCAGTGAAGAGAACTCCGGAGGTTCAAGGGTCAGGGAAGAGTGGTCTACTGTCTCTGGGGGACAATTTTTGTAAAGCAAAGTATACCAACATCGTGCCTCAGAATAAACGGGACAGCAAGCTTTGGGCCCTGAGGCCCACCTTTCTGAGCTCTATAATGCAATCATTTGAGAGCCCAGCAGAGGAGTCTCCAAGGTCCATCCACTGGAGGACAGCTTGGTCAAATCGCTTCAGAGGAGGCAAGAGCAGCTACTGGGCCTACTTCTGGTCTGACACTGCCACCCACTCTTATACCAACTGACCATCAGAGCCAAATGCTGTTGGGTGCCCATACCACAGTGCGAGGACACATACAGATAGTGATGAGGAGCCTATCAACTTAGGGAATGAAATGGGGATGAAAGGAAGAATATGTCATACATCATACATCCCATGGATATACAGGGGTAGCAGGGTGCTGGAAGAGGAAAACAACAGAAGGAGCAAGCCAAAACACCTGGAACCTTCCAGTCAACTTAGACAATCTTGTGGATGACCTGGGATTTTAGATGATGTGCAATAAACTGAAGGAGGGGATTAGAGATAGGACAACAGCAGATTTTCCTAAGCACAAGGCCCAGCCTGAGTTAAGCAATCAGAAAATAACATGAGTGTCACTCCTATTACTCCTGAGAGCTGCCACTTGGTTGTAGCATCTTTCTACTTGCTGTTCCCTGAGGTACCTGCATCACTTTATTACCCATCACCTGCACTTCGCTGAGGAGCAGCAGGCTCAAAAAGGTTAAGAAAAACATACTCAGGTTAGGGCCATGCTACCCACAGTCTGTCTGATAGGACTCAGCAAAGGGGCTGGATGAGCCCTGCACAGAGAATGGGGACTTATTTATTTCTGAGAGAGAGAGAGAGAGAGACAGAGACAGAGACAGAGACAGACAGACAGACACACACACACGCTCATGCATGAGTCGGGGAGAGGCAGAGAGAGAAAGAGACAGAGAATCTGAAGAGGGCTCTGTGCTGACAGCAGAGAGCCCCATGCAGAGCTCGAACTCACAACTGTGAGATCATGACCTGAGCTAACGTCAGACACTTACCCAACTGAGCCACCCAAGTGGCCCCTGGTGAAAGGTTTTGGAAGAGGGAGGAATGTGGGGCTCATGGCCTGTGTGGAGAGCTTTCAGAAGGGATACAGAGGAGTTGGAGCCTAAAGCAGAGAAAAAAAGCTTCTGCAGAGAACCAAGGGCTGTGTGAGGGCAGGAAGTGTAGATAAGAGTAGGAGCTTAGGGGTGGGTGGGGGACAGCACCCCACAGGCAACCTGGGGTTGGGTGAGAGAGCAAGGCTGAGGGCAAGCATACAGGGAAGAATTCAGCAGGCAGAGTGCAGTGGGGATGAAGTGGACAGGACAGGCAAGGACTCCTGCTCTGGGAAAGAGAGACATGGGACTGACCACCCAGTGAGTGGAGTGTGATGAGGTGGGGTGCAGGGAAGGTACCGAGCTCTTGAAGGTTCCCACGGGCAGTGCCCCAGACTTCTGAGTCAGGGCCAGTCCTCTGCCACTGTTCAAGAGGCTGTGACTTTTAGGAGATGCTCTTCCAGCACCTCTACTGCCATGTACCCGAACTAGGCCACTACTAAAAGTCACCATCTGCTCTGGAGTCTAAGTCTCTATAAGTCATTGTTAAAGGTATTCTGGTGGTGTGACAGGGAGACAGCAGACTTTTGTTGTTGAAGGCAGGAGGCCCGCTTTTAAGCCTTGGACTTTTATTATTTTTTTTATTTTTTAAAATTTTTAGAGAGACAGCATGAGTTGGGGAGAGGGGCAGAGAGGGAGGGGG